GCTCACCTGGGCCCGTGTCCGAGCATCTCTTTGTCACCTGCCTGGACACCCACTTGCTGCATCACAGCACCTGCCTGAGGACCCAGCTGGCTTCTCCTGCAGTGCCCATCCCCGGGGCCTTGATGCCCGTCTCTGGCCCCATTCCTGCTCCTTCAGTGGGGCCGCCCCCTTGCTGTGCCCCATGGCCTGGCCCAAAGGGGGAGTCCACAGTCTCCGGCTCAGAATCCGGCTCAACAGAATCGGTTGCTGCTGTCTCCACCCAGGAAGGGCTGTTTGGGGTCTAGTAGAAAACTACTGGCTCAGAATTTGTAATCATTCACAACACACCGGGAGCGGTGTGCCCAGTCCCTCAGGAGGAAGGCTGCCCAGCCTGGGAAGTGAGCCTGGCCTGGGATCCACAAAGGAGAGATGCCAGGGTCCTGCATCTCGGGGCCCTGACCGCCTCCTACTGTTGGTGACACCGGGATGGCGCAGGTCACGGACATCTCCACAGGGGCGTGACACACTGGACCTTATGTTCTCAGTGCCATCATAAGCTGACCCAACTCTGGGGAAACCCTGGCCGAGGAGAAGGTTCGCAGCCCTCGTGAGAGCTAAATAATAACCCACACAGGAAGTGTGCCAGCACCCTCCGGCTGCCGTGAACTTGCCCTCACGCCGTCCTCCGGGCCAAGACACTGTCCAGCGTGGGTCCGGACCAGCTGCCACACAGGCTTGGCAAGGAGGGGAATGCAGAAGGCGAGGCCACCAACCCTCCATCGGGCACTGGAAGGGCTGGGCGGATGGGCCAGGCACAGAGGGCCGGGCCGTGTGCTGGCCCAATCCTGGGGCCGCTCTCACGAGGCTGCTGCTTCCTCATTTCAGTCCTGCCAGACTCATCGCTGCCCTCCACCGCTGGGCCAGGGCCTTGCATGCTTGGAGCTGGCCGCTCCCTGGGCCCTGTAAGTCATGTCCAGTGTCCGTGGGGTGTGACTTGGTGCTGGCCCAGAGAAGTCACCCACCGACTCTGGCCTGACGTTGCCTCTCCATCCTCACGGCAGATGCTCCTGGCTCAGGATGGGGTTCCTGAGAAACCTCTGGGGGATCAGAATACCCAGGTGGGAATCCCTTTGGGGAGCCCTGGTCCACCCAGCTCCGCAGCCTCGCCTCCCGGGACACTGCACAGCGGCGGCTGCTGTCCCCAGCTGGGCCGTCACTGCCCGGCATCTGGAGAGGGTCGTGTGCTCAGGGCAGTGGCCTGGGCAGTGGTCAGAGTTCTAACGTTGAAGGAGGGTCTGGGGGGCACGCAGAGGAGGCTGCATTCGTGTTGGGTAAGGTCGGAAATTGCCGGGCTGTGCATATCACCTGCACCCCTGCACCCACACACCCGTGTTCGTGACCCCACAGGGCCATGTAGCGAGCCCGTGCACCTGTGCGTGTGACTGCCACACGCCTGTCTCGTGTCCTACTAGTTCCATGATGTGCTCAAAATCAGCCCCTCGCTGGGACCACAACTGGCAGGTTTCCATGAGCCCTGCAGCACGCCCTGTGCCACCCCTCCCCGTGTGCCGCCTCACTGTACAGAGGTTGCAGGACCCAGGCCTGCCTTAGGCAGAGCGGCTGCCACCTGTGGGCGGCGTGACCAGTGTCCTTGTGGACAGTGAAGACCGGAGCCAAAGCGAGTGGGCAGGGAGCCTTTACTCTGTTCTGCACTACTGTCGCAAGGACAGGGGGACGGAGCCACGCCCTTCCCAGTGCCCAGGGAAGGAAGGCGGCTGTCTGCCCCCTGCTCCCCAGCGCCGCCATGTAGATACTCAGTGTGAGTCAACCTGGAGGAGAGTGGCCTGGAGGACCACAGGAAGGCCCGCTCTTCCTGAGGGCACACTGGGGTACCTGTCCTGGAAGTCGTACTCTGCCAGGGCGGGTGCCCCAGGAGGCCTGGCAGGATGTCTTCTCACCCCACTGTGGTGGTGCAGGGCCCACTCCCCAGCTCCCAGCCGAATGGGTTCTGCAGTTCGACTGTCAGTCTCCTCAAGGGTGCCCGGGTGCTCCGGTGGAGACAGCTGAGGGGGTGCCATGGCACCAGCAGCACCGCCCTCCGGCCTTCCTGAGGGCTGTACATGCAGATCTTGGCAGGATTCCCTGGTCCCAGGCTCCTGCGCGGCTGCATGAGGCCTGCATGTCAGCCCAAGCATCTGCCCAATGCCCGCAGCGGCAGCCAGACGAAGCTGGCTGAGCCAAGGGAGGGAAGCCAGGGGCTCTGGTCACCGTGAGGGGAGGTCACCCCTGCTCTGCGTGGGACACCAGTCTGTGTCTGGGTAGAGAAGACAATGAACAGACCTAAACCTGGAACAGAGGGAGGGTCAGGGTCAGGGCTGTCCTGGTGAGGCTAGATCAGCACCCCTAGTCACCGCTCACTCACCGTGTGGGGTCCTGCTGTAGGCTGAAACCCGCCACATTCACCACATTAAGGGGGTTCTCAGGACCCCCATAGCTTAGGGTAACCTGGAAGAGAAGGGGGCAGTGAGGCCCAGTGGTCTTCTTCATGTGTCTGGCACTTGCCTCCAGAGCCCTCTTCCTGGAGGAGATGTTGCTTGCCTCTTTACTCTGGGAAACAGGAGAGCCCCTTTCACAAGCCCCAGGATAGCTGTGGACATGTGTTCTTGTGCCCCACAGGCAGAGGGATCTGCCCAAGGTCCGCGTGGAAATCCCAATGCCGAGACCACCCTGCACCTATACCGGCTGTGGGCCTACCAGGTTGATGGGTTGGCCAGTCCGGACCCCTGGAGGAGCAGGGGCCAAGGCTGTTGGCAGGACATCTGCTGAGCCACAGGGAGCCAGGCCTACCTGCTGTAGCACAGCATCCATCGGCAGCCTCTGCAGGTTCTCCAGGTGGGAGTGGAAGAGGGGGCTATGCAGCAAGCGGGCCCCCAGCAGTCCTTCCACAATGTAACCCACTGTGCAGTCATCTGGAAGCCGCACCCGCTCTGCAGTGCTCATGAAGCTGCCTAGGCTGGGGGGAGAGGCTGGTCAGCACCTCCTTGGGCCTCAGCTCCCAGCCCGGGCAGCAAGGTGCCCACTCACCTGGCCCAGGGGCTCATCTTGAGGGCAAGGCCCCTGCTCAGGCAGAACCCGGCTCCACCAGTAGCAAACCAGAACTTGACTGTGGTTGCCTGGAAATGGGGGAGCTCCTGTCATGGTGGCCCACTCCTGGGCTCCTTACCCCTCACCCTTCATTGGCCCCAAGTGCCTTCTGCAAGCCACCCCAAGGAGAGCCTGGCAGGGAGACCGCCAGCCCGGCACTCACGGTCCCACCTCCCTGGACCCTCTCGGTGGCCTCAATGGGATGGTCCAGGCTGGGACGCCCCAGGTAGACATCCTGGTTGGGAGAGAAGGTGGACAGCAGGTGCAGCAGTGTGGCGGGATTCACATAGTTGTCATCATCCACGTGGCAGAACCACCTGTGGTGGGGAGAGTCCTGTGCAAGGGCCCGCGAGGTGGCTGGAGGGTCCCCTGCATGAGCCCGGGCCCCAGAGGATGGACAGGGTCAGCTTACTTGCGCCCAGACTCGATGAACTTGTCGTACTCCACGGACATCTTACAGCACAGTGCCTGGCGGGTGCGCACTGCGGAACAGTTGGTGTTGATGATGTGGCTGCCTGGCCAGGTAGAGACACAGGAGAGTGAGGGTCCATGCCCAGCCTGCCCCTGAGGTGGAGGCCAGCTGGGGCTGTCCCGCCACCCCTCTCAGCTCTCCCTGCAGCTCCAGCTCAGCTGTCACTTGGCTGTTAGTGACTGAAGATCACAGTCCCTTGGGACCCGATGAGCAGAGACAGGGCTAAGGCAGGACAGCCCTCACCAGGGCTGCACGGGAGGATTTCCTGCCAAATCCTGTTTGGGCTGGACTGCTGTGATGGAGCCCTGGCAGGGGCGACCTGGTTCCGCCGAGCACCGCCTGTGTGACCCCGGGGCAGCGCCTCGCCCTCCCTGGGCCAGGGTAACAGCTCAGTAGTGGCCCCTTTGTGGCGGGCACGACATCGGAGCCGCGAGGCCAGGGATCGGGGTCTCACCTGCCTGCCGCTGGAGCTCAGGGTCGTCCCCGTCCGTAAAGATGAACGTCTAGGGGAGAAAC